GCACTTTCTAAGCTTTGGGAGGCTCCTTATCTCTAGCTAGGTCACAGTGGTGGGCTTTGCTGAGTTCCCTGAAGGCAAAGCATTTTCTTTCTCTGGATGCTACCCTTGACATCAGAAAACAATGCCTGCCAATCACAGTACAGGCGAGACACGGTTTGTATCTAAATACAGGCAGTAACTTAATAAATGTCCTGGACTCAAGTGCTTGCTTGGCAAAGGCCATCTTTAGCCCTGGAGGCACTGCCACCAGCGTCAAGCCCCGTGCCTTTCCAGCATGTACACCCTCCTCCTTCCTCTCCGGGACCTTGAGCAAGGGCACTGTCCCAAACAGCTTGTGCACAAATCCAGTCGTACCTTGGACCTGGCCTTGCATCCCTCTCATGGTCAGTGCATGGGCTATGTCTTTTCCTCTCAGCCTGGCAGACCACAGTTCCCACCCTCTCAGAGATGTAGGCTTCTCTATGGAAGATTCTAAGGGGAAGTTAATTCACTTATTTGTCCCCAAAGAGGAGAGCCTAACCAGCCATGATTCTCTGCCAATTCCACATTATCTCCCTGTGCTCCGAGGCCAGCCCTGTCCTTTAGTCCCTTCCCAGCATCCCCAGGGATGTTGTGTTTCTCTCTTCCTCCCTTCCTGCTCAGCTAATAATAACCCTCATTCTCTTCCACCAGGAAGTTGCTCCAAAGTGACTCCATCCTCCTGTGCTACTCTTTTCCCAATTACTGTGTGGCCTTGGGCACAAAACTCACTCTTCCTCCGGGCCTCAGTGCCTCTCGGGATTCCCTACTCCCACCCCAATGTCTCTAGCCTCTTCCTCCCTTAAAGTGAAGGATGCTGGACACAGACTGCCCCCACCCCCAGTCACCTCAAACCCTGTCATGCAGATGGTGAACATGCATATGGAGAAGGTGGCCCGAAGGGAGATCGGCACCTTAGCCACTGTCCAGAGGCTGTCCCCTGGCCAGAAAGTCATTGCTCCTGAGAGCCTACCCCAGCTCACGCCCTACTGCAGGAGACCTCTCAACTTTGGCTGCCTGGATGACATTGGCCATGGAATCAAGGTAGAAAAGGAGCCCCCCTTCCCACAACCTGCCCTGTCCTGACTCAAGGCTCCTTTCTCTCTAGGACCCCAGTTCTTGTCCATGTTCTTGGTTTACCCTGCAATCGCTCTTTCCCCACTCCCTGCAGCCACACCCTGAGTCCTCTCCTCTTCCCCAAATCTTGTAATTCTCCCTTGACCCTCTCCTCCCTAACTGACCTTTACCCTGTACTCAGATGATCTGCTGAGAGATCCTGATCACCTCCCTCCACGCCTGGTGCTGTGTGTGTGTGTGTGTGTGTGAAGGGGAAGAGGGGGAAGGGAGAGTGTCAGAGTGTGCATGAGAACAGCTCCCCAACCACATGAGAACAGCGACTTCCTCTGTCTGGGGGTTTGAGGTTACTGAACTGAGCAGTCACCCCAGAGCTGCTGGTGGTGGGAAGGAGCAGGATGCAGCCACATAGCGGGAACATGGTGAAGAGAGGGGTGCTTTCCTTTCAGCTTATCTCTTTCTGAAAGATAGGAGAACACACACACACACTCACACACCTTTTGTCAATTCCTGTCTCCACACTTCATCACTCCAGACTAGATTACAAGCTCTTCTGTGTCTAAGTGACCCCCACAACATCCCTAATATATAGCTCTCCCAAAAGGGGAATCCGTCACCAGTTCTCTGCACCAATAAGTTCTTTCTGTTGTCTAAATTTCTCTCGCCCCACCCCACTCTTTTTTGGTGGTGCCAGGGATCAAACCCAGGGCCTTCTTGCACATACTAAACATGTGCTTTAATACTGAGTTACTGCCCAGCCCCTCCACTTATTCTTTATTCTTCAATTCAAGTTCCCTTTGTCTTATTCCTAGTGAAGAACAGCAAACAGAGAACCTAGTTCCTCATGTGCTCACTCTTGACAAAATTCCAATTACAAAAGTGCCCTCTTGTAATGGTTCACACCCTGACATTTGCACACTACCTTCTAAGTGTCCCAGGTCCTGCTCCTGTCTTGAACTCTAAGAAGTCACTTCCATAGTTCTATGAAAATGACAAGTGAGACCCTTCTGAGAATGCCCTGTCCACTTCTCAGCTCATGTTAGGGTTGAGATCTAATCAAAGTTAAGAACCACCTAGGCACCCCAGCTCCCTCGGTTCTGGGATGGTTTGGGGGAAGGGTGAAGCTGAGGGGCCAACTCAGTCACTGTGGCTATGCAGAGGAAGTGGCCCTCCGATGTCTATGCTCTGCCTTTCAGTCAGAAACTCCGACTCGGTCTGTGGCAGACTTGAGGCCCTGGGGACCGGGCAATGACAGGAGGCAAGTGGAGATGTGGGTAGGGCAGGAGAGGAGCTGGGAAGTGGAAGAGGGAACTTGCAGAGGCCCCACTCTCCCTCCCACTTCTCGTCCGCCCCTCCACCCGCCTTCTCCGCGAGGAGAAAGGGGATTGTCGCCCCACACCCCAGATGCCAGCCCTACCCTCCTTCCTGGCAGGACCTGAGCACGCAGCTGTCACGGACTGGGACTCTGTCTCGAAAGAGCATCAAGGCTCCTGCCACACCTGCCTCCACCACGCTGGGGTGAGGCTCCTACCGCTTCCTAACCAGCCCGGGGCTGCAGCGCGCGGTCCCGAAACCACTCCCCCGCCCCCGCCGGCACCTGGCGCCCCGCCGCTCTCGGTGCTGTGCTTGACGCCCGGCGTCCAATCACCCCTCCGCCAGTCGCTCCCTCCACCTAGAACCGAGCCCTGCCGGCCAAGAACTGTTCCCCCTTATGCTACTCCCTCCCCAGGAGACCACCCCGGATCCCGGAGCCCGTGCAGCTCCCAGTGGTGCCTGACGGCAAACTCTCGGCCGCCTCCTCCGCCTCTTCCCTGACCTCCGCCGGGTGAGCCCCACAATCGAGCCAGAGAGGGTGGTGGGTGGGCTGTGGATATAAGGTCCCTGGCCCGTCATCACGGTGACCATGAGGTTGGGGGGATCACAGAGGCAAAGTTAGGAGGCGGGATTTCGGATGGGAGGAGCGGGGCCCATCTTACAGAAAGTGTCCCAACCCGGCTTTCTCTGGGCTTCAGCAGCGCCGAAGGTGTCGGTGGGGTCCCTCAGTCCAAGGGACAGGCTCCCCCAACTCCACCTCCTCCACCCGCCGCCGCCGCCGCCGAGATGTTTCTGCCGCCCCCTCCACTCGAGGAGCTGACCCCGCCCCCACCAGGTAAGGAGCCCCGCCCTTCCCGGTGTCGCTGTCCCGAGGTCTCTGTCACACCTCGGCACCCGGTAGCTCTGGGCTCTAACCCTACCAGCCTCTGTGAGCGCTGCGTGGCTGTTACACCGACCCGAGCGAAAGGCGGCAGAGCGAGTGAACTAAGAACTGGCACCTACTTAACACCAGGCCCCAGGTTCAAAGTTTCTCTCCCATCTTCTCATTTCAACTTAATCCGAGAGAATCTTCACACTCTTATTTAACAGGCGGAAAAAGCTGTGACTCCGATGTACGGAGATCTTAGTGCCACCCAGTTAAATGGCAAAGTCTTACTACTCTAAACTGCTCGATCTTTCAGCGTGTTCTGAGCACCGTCTACATGCTATAGAAATTATGGGAGGATGGGTGCGCCCTGGAGGGAGACAGCATGAAATGGATAGATATTGGGCCTCCTCTGGAGCAGCGGCTTCCAGAGGCAGCCCTTGCTTTCCCTCCCTGCCGCAGAGCTTCCCCTGACCCTGGACCTGCCCCCTCCTCCGCCCCTGGAGGTAGAGGACCTGGGGCTGCCACCTCCACCCCCGCCAGGCTTTGGACCGGATGAACCCAGCTGGGTCCCTGAGGCATACTTGGAAAAAGGTACCTGAGTCCTAGAACGGAGGGGCACCAGATCCTGCCGCCCTCTTTTGCCCTGACCCACATTCTCCCACCCCAAAGGCATTCTCCCCTCCCTATGCAAAGGTGTGAACTTGTTATCCGCCCCCCCCGTGTTGTGATTGGATAGGAAGCAGCTGGTCTAGCATTGAATATTAACTAAGCTGGGGAGGGGGCCTGAAAGCTCCGAAGGCACTCCTACTCCCCGCAGCATTCTCCCCCAGAGTCCAGTGTTTGGCCCCTCCATCTCTATGCAAGAGAGGGCGGGAGGCATAACTCATGCACCCTTTCCTCCTGCCCTGCAGTGGTGACACTGTACCCATACACCCGCCAGAAGGACAACGAGCTCTCCTTCTCTGAGGGCACGGTCATCTGCGTCACCCGCCGCTACTCCGATGGCTGGTGCGAGGGCGTCTGCTCGGAGGGGACTGGATTCTTCCCAGGCAATTATGTGGAGCCCAGCAGCTGACAGCTCAGGGATCTCCCTGTACCCACCCAAGCTCTGCAGGGAGCAGGTGTCTTGAGCCCCAGAACAAAGCCTGCTCCAGTCAATGCTGAAATAGGGCTGTTGTTTCTTTCCCCTTATTGTCACGGGGAAGAGGTCCTAGGGACAGAGAGAAGATACCCAGAGACTTACTGCAAGTGAAAAAGAACTGGGAGTCAAAGAATTTGGTGATGTTGTCCACAGAGGACCCCCTAATCCATGCAGAGTGGAGTCTCCAGCTGCAAGTACCAACTTTGAATAAAACTGATGACCTGATGACTGCCCTGCAGGGCTAGAGGACCAGAGGGGAGGGATTGAAAGGCACTCATTTAGCCCTGCAGAATGCCCCAGTAGCAGTGCCTTTCCACCTCCTCAGTCCTCATTAGTGTTCCTTCCACCAGACCACCAAGTCTTTGGCAGTGAGTGGGTCTTTAGACCCTTGCGCGTGCCTCCCTCCGTGTGTGTGTGTGTGTGCGTGTGTGTGTGCGTGCGTGTGCGTGCGCGCGCCCGCGCTCAGCCTTGATTCCTCAATTTGAATAGCGGGGACAACCTCCCTCACTTAAGAGAGGCTGAGAGCAAACAACATCTCATTTTCAACCCTCAGACGGCGGCGCAGTAGAGATCTTAGTCACTTTGTCCCCCTTCACCTCCTTTATAGTTCTCAAACACCAGAGGGAGAAGGGGCTTGGGTTTCCCTGGCTCTGCTTAAAAACATCATGGCTTCCTGTTCCATATGGAAAGAGGGGGACGTGGAGGACGACTTTGGTGAAGTCCCTGGGCTCTTGATGCATAGACGAGGCTGGGGTGCAAGGAGACACCTTCGCACGCAGTGAAGTCCCTGGCTGGCGTTAACCTGAGGTGGACGGTGTGCAACCTCACTCCACCACTAGGAGGCGACTATCCTGCTGGCTTTTTTTTTTTTTTTCCTTTTTTCTTTTTTACTGTGTAGAGGTGCTGACGGGGTAGGAGGGGGGCGGCAAGGTGTTGCGAGCACAGAAATAGTGAGATTTCCGGGGCTGAAGCAAGATCCAGGAGGCCTGGAGCTGTCAGCAGAGAGGATCATCTGTCTCCACGGAGAGTCCGGTGCCCCGAGGAGTTTGGAATCCTGGGTCCCCCCTTGAGGAAAGACTGGGGGAAGGGGAGGTTACGCAGCCCGAGGCAGCAGTTAAAGCAGTGGGAGGTGTTCCTTTTCTTATCTGTCAAGAAGCCCCCACCTCCCAGTTCAGAGCACAGGGTTTTGGAAACACTGCTGTCTTTCAAAAGGTATGCACGCCACTCCCCCAAGGACCAGACTCCAGAATTAAACGGTTTGCTGCAGGGGACAGCAGCTGATCTGGGTTAACGGCATAGTTAGTGACCGTTCCGAACTCCTCTCCTGGCCCCCAAATGAACGAAATTCCAGAAATTTCCGGAGGGACATAGCAAAGCGAAAGGGGAAAGGGAGTAGTAAAACTAGGTTTGTCTTTCCCAGTTTCTCCTCCCCGCCCTTCCTCCCCGCTCTTGCCCCGGGCGCCCCCTCTAGGCGGCAGTGCTCAGCACGTCTTCAGCACCTGTTGCAGATGGAGGCGCACTTCGGTGGCCGTTTCCCAGGGCACCACGCTGGCACGGAAGGAGCTGGGTTCGGCCTTCTGTGCCTCCTGAATGAGGCGGTGCATGGGGTAGCCGCGGCGCGGGAAGGCCACATCACCGCCCGCCAGCAGCCCCATGGGGCAGAAATCATTCGCACCGTCGCCCACGTAGAAGAGGCGCTCGAAGTGCACACCATCGTGGGCCCGCTCGCGCAGGTAGTCGCTGAGCACCTTGTGCTTGCACATGTTGGCTGGGCAGCGCGTGCAGCTATGCGTGTGGAAGGGCCGCAGCGCCAGCAGTCCCTGAGCGTCAGGCCCAGATGGGTTGCTGAGGATGCGGCGGAACAGGCCGTGGTGGCCGGCCGCGCGCAGGGCGCTCTCCACACCAAAGGTGTTGGCATCCGAGATGAGAATAACCTCGAAGCAGGAGCCCTGCTTGGCTACAAACTGCAGCAAGTCTCCCATACCCGGAGACAGGGGGATGGCCTCGTAGATAGCGCTTAGGTCCCGAGGCCGCACGCCCTGCTCACCCAGGTACTTGAAGACGCGCTGCATGTATTCGTTGTAGAACCCCTCGCGGTAGGTGGCTCGCAGGCTCTCGGGCAGCCGCTGGCCTGGCGCAGCGCGCACGATGGAGTCGTCGCTGTTTTCGTCCACAATGGTCTCGTCGAAGTCGAAGGTCAAGAGGAAGCGCGGTGTGCCTTGAGCAGCCATCCCGCTGTCCTGGGAGCAGGAGGGAGGGGAGCAGGAGGAGGAAGAAGGGACAAGCGAGAGGGGGCGCGGCGGGAGCCGGCCAGGGAGAGGCTGGTTAGCGGGCCACGGCCAAAGGCGCTGGCACGTCCAAGACCTGAGGAGGACCCAAGGCTGGTTAAGCTCTGAGGAGTACATAAAGCTGATCCCCACCCAGCCTTCCCCGCCCACCCTCTTGCACCTTAGTTAGCCATACTAGGATTCACACCCAGGGGACCATCCTAGCCCTGAAGGGTTCCTTTGGTTCCTGTTTCTGCTAATCTCACCCAGGGTCACTGGATGAGGTTTGCAAGGGTCAATTTAGAAAAGTAGCTTCCTAGGGATTGTCCCTTTGGGAGGTTCCTGGACAAGAATGATTTAGAGACTTCCAGTGGCCCTTGTGGTTGGGTATGGAAAAAAGGGGGGTGAAAGGAATAGATCCTCCTTTCTCAACACAAGCAGAATTGGGGGACAGGGGGACTACCCATGCACCCCGCTAGAGTAACCTCCTTATTTTCCTTTTGGTCCTTGTAGGATCAATGGCTTATGGGACTGTGATGGACAATAAGGAGCCAGGCTCCAGGGAAGGTTCTTTGGGCATCCTCCTAGGCAGGTAGATATTGAGTGCCAGGCCTCAGGGTTAGGTGCCTGGGCCTCTGCACTGGCCAGAGAACTGGATTGGGCCCTTGGAATTACCAAGTAGGTAGACTGACCACATAAGACCCAGGGGGGTTCTCTGGGAGCTGCTTCCAGACAGATGGCTCTGGATAGGGGTCCAGGGATGAGATAGAGCTTCTCCAGGGATTTTAGAGCCCTGTGCTGACAGCTGATCACTAATCACTTGCCAATTCCCTGGGAGGAACGTGTCAGCAGGTGGGGTTTCTGCCAGAGTCCGAAGCAAGCGGGCAGCAGGAGAAGCAGTGGGGCTTGGGAAGGTAGAAGCCTCCCTCGCCAGGCCACGGCATACCTGGGAGACAGGTAAGGGAGAGGAAAGAGAGCAGCAGTGGCTGAAAAGGCAGAGGAGGAGGGGGCAGGCAGTGGGCACGTGAGGGGAGGACTAGGAGGAAGTCATGCTAGTGGAATGTGGAGACAGACTGCTGAACAGGAAGACAGAGAGGGGTGTCCAGGAAGTGAGACCTTGGGCCACAGTCATGTTAAGGAGGGATGGTGGTGGTGGTGATGGGTGTGTGGACAGCATGGGAAAGGATGGGGGCAAAGGGGAAGTGTCAGAGCACAAAGAAAGGCAAGCAAATGAAGACAGCGAGAGCCCTCGGCAGCATGTCGCTGCCACCTTGTTTGCCAGCAGCAGCTAAGTGTGAGGGACAGCATGAATGGATCCTGTACAGCTGCAGAATACCCACCACATTGTCTTCCCCCACCCCACCTCCCACCCCAATTCATCTTGATGGAGTCTGATTTCTTCCTTCCCCTCTCTCTAATCTGCCTGGTATGTTGATGGCCTGGCAGACCTTGTAGAACAAAAGCCTCAACTCCTCATTTTAAAGATTTGAACCTGGTTACTCGCTTCCCTGACTGAATGGTCCCTTTGACCTCATCCTTAGAGTCATCCTCTGCTCTCACCAACATCCATCTGGGAGTCTCAGCCCAGGATCCCTGGAGCTGAGGATGTAAGGTATCCCACACCTGGGATAGAAGCTTTCAGGGATTAGTGGAGCCCAGATGGAGGTGAGGGCAAGCCCGAAAGGGGCTGGATAGGGCTCCTCCCACTCCACAGTGGGAAAATGTGGGCTAAAGCCCCATCCCAGAGGGATCCACTTACCCTAGTCAGGCATCGGAGGCCAGCAACTGGAAGACACCCACTCATCGTCACTGTATCACCCTGAGCACCACCTCTAGGGACTCTGTTGGCCTCCAGCTGATCTGCAGAGCTCCTGACAATCAAAAAGTCCATTTACTGGTTCCAGTTAGCTGGCTTTGCTTCCACCACTTGGCCCTGTTCTCTTGCTGAGCCCCAGTAGCCACTCCCAGGTTCTCAGCAAAAGCAAGCCCTTAAATGGGCACAGCATTTACAGATGTACCTTGGTAGCAATCCTCTTACAGTCCCCTAGCATGCCAGAGAGGTCACAGATGGTGTTATATTAGAGACCAACACAACTGATTTGCCACTGTGAGTGGCAGTGGCATCTCAAAACCATATTTCAGAGTCCAGTTCTCCAGTGTGATCACTGCCCTCTACACATGTAGGGTCATACATCATAGTTTACAAACCACTTTTACTCATTCTCTCACTATTCAATCTGGTGAGATCAGCAGATAAAGGTTCAGAGGTTGACTTACTTGCCCAAGGCCATGCTGTTTACATGGGGTAGAGTTTGGTTCATGAACCCTTGGCCATAGCTTTGTCTTCCCTGTGCCCTCAAAAGGTAAGGGGCCTCCAGACACTATGACACATGCCTGTAATCCCAGCAACTTGGGAGGCTGAGGCAAGAGGATCACAAGTTCAAGACAAGCCTGGGAAATTTAGCGAGACCCTGTCTCAAAAATAAATAAGGACTGGGGATTTAGTTCAATAGAAGAGTATTTGCCCAGCATATGCCAAAACCTGGGTTCAACCTCAGTACCACACACACACACAAAAGTAGATTATAAAAATAGAAAAGGATGGGGAAATAGCTCAGTGTAAAGCACCCCTGGATTCAATCCCCAGTACCACACCAAAATAATACAATAATGTGGAAGGTCCAGTGATCAGCATTTATTGTTATCAAAACTGGGGACACTGAGACCCCTGGGTTCTACAAGTGACCTGCGAATGGCCTCTCTAGTGCTCTCAGAGGTCTGGGATCCAGCAGATAGGTCAGGAGTCAGGTTGAAATCTCTGCTGGATTTTACTGCATGCCTTTGGGGACCAGCTTTGGCCTCTTTGAGGCCTACACCGATGCAGCTACAAAGAACACCACATAGAGCTGCCAGCTCCTCCCTGCTCCCGTAACCCCTTCCATCCAAGGGTTGAGTGAGAGACCAGAGAGAGGCATGTGGGACAACTGGAAAGCTAAGAGCCAAGAGACTAGACCAGGAGCAAAGATCTGACTGCTTGCTGCCCTCTGCTGGTGACAATGGATGACACTGTAAATGCCTCTGACTTTGTCAAGGTGACACTCTCCCCTGACCATCCCAGGGGAACAGGGAGAAGCTGTTGGCCTCTACAGAGACTGGGTCATACCAGGGACAGAACATAGGTTCTATGACTTTCCATCTCATAGCATGCCCTGCCCACCCATCCCCTGACCACCCGTGCATCGCCATTTCAGTGAGGAGAGGATATGGGTTTAAACTTTCCCAACAACTTTTAATTGGGAATAGGGAGAGGGCTCAAAGCTGAATGGTGCAGTTGGCAAAGAGTGTGATAGGTTGAGAAAGGAGACACGTTAAGAAGAAAGTGAGAGGGAGGAAGACATGGGGGGCAAGGGAATGGCAGGCTGGTGGGAGAGTGTCCCCAGTCAGAATCCTGGGTGATATTACAAGTCTGCTGGGTCTAGATGAGTCAAGGAGAAAGGTCAGAGGATGCCACTCCCATTTCAAAAGCAAATGTGGATAGGCACGTGTCAGGCACGCAGAGAAGCAAAGGAAAGATAGGAAGACGATGAGGTGGCCAGAGAGAGTGACAGAGACCAACTTTCATCCCACAGAAAAGGGTCTCATCTCTTTGTCCTTTTATCCTTTCTTTTTTGGAATATTCTTCTTATTCCTTTTTTAAACCAGGGATTGAGCCCAAGGGTGCTCTACCACTGAGCTACATCCTTTACCCTTTTTTCTTTTGAGATGGGGTCTGGTTCAGTTGCCCAGGCTGGCCTTGAACTTGTGATCCTCCAGGCAGCCTTTTGAGTTGCTGGGATTACAAATATGCACCACCACGCCTGGCTTGGTATATCCTTCTGATCTTTAATTATGTTCAAAACTTCTCATTTCTCATAATAAAAGGCATAGCTACATTTTTTCACTAATAGTATTTAGGTAAATCAGTTAAACACTTGTTTGGTAGATGGCCCTTGATTCTTTTCATCTTCAAAGCAGAAAGCCAAGCATCTTCCCTGGAGACTGAATAGTCCATGCTGTGACACCCCCACCCCAGCCAAAGCAATTAGAGGGGTCTTCCCCAGTTAGAATCTGGCTCCTGTAAATTCCAAAAGCTCACTCACCTCTGGCAGCTTTGTCCTGAGTGATCAAACCCTTGTGGTCACTAAGAGGGTCTCCAAAAGAGGTCAGGATCTCTAAGTTTCTCTCTCAGGCTAGAGCAGGGAGAAGAGAGTAGGGTTTCTGGGAGTGGCAGGGAGTCCATTTCTAGTCCCATGTAAGATTAGTGCCTGACTCCTTGATTTATCTGGGATCATAGGTTCCTGCCAGCTTCCTCCTATCTTTGACTCAAAGATTAAATCTATGTGAAGAGAGTGGAAGAGTTCCTGGGAATGGGGAAGAAAAAGGATCCTTTTTGAAACTGGTCCCTAAACTTGAAATTCCCCCTTCTAGTGGGTAGATGAAGCCCCCAGGAAAAGTTTGGGGGAGCCTGGCACTGTGAGGCACAGGCCTGTAATCCCAGCAGCTTGGGAAGCTGAGGCAGGAGGATTGGGAGTTCAAAGCCAGCCTCAGTAACAGCGAGTTGCCAAGCAACTCATTGAGACCCTGTCTCTAATATAAAATAGGGCTGAGGATCTGGCTCAGAGGGAGTGCCTCTGAGTTCAATCCCTGGTACAAAAAAAAAAAAAAAAGTTTTGGGGCAGTTTTGCAAAGGGCAAACACAGGATGGGAATGGGGTTGAGGACTCCTGAAATCCCACTGTACCAAGCCCTCTCTGTCCCCAAACAAGTCTCATATCACTAGAAATCAGAGTTAACATTTTAAAGCTAGAATTCCCTCCCTCCCCACACAGCACCCCAACTTCACCACCTTTCTTGTTCACCAACCCCCAACAGCAACTAGGAAAAACAGGCCCAGAGAGGTCAAGCTAACATCACACATGGGGAGGGGGGCGATCACACAGCATCAGAATCAGGATTAGAACTCAGGGGTCTCTGAGCCTCTTAGGAAAACTGCAGCTGGAGCTTCTCCTATGGTCCTGGAGGCTCCCTTAGGCTCTGAGCTCCTCGTCCTGATAGTTTCTCTTGGCAATGATCCCGCATTAGTGCCAGTGAGAATCTGAGACTAGGAGTCACCTCTGGGCTCTCTCCCCGCCCGGGTGGACAAGCTGAGAGGAGATCCTCACTGGGTAGGGGTAAAAGAGGTGGCAGCTGCGGTGGGGTGGGGGGAGATATTTTTAGAGGTGACTGGAAAGCAGGCACTCTGGCACACCCCCAGCTGGCGGGCGCTTCGCTTTAATGCGGGCGGGGGGTGCGCGGCTTGGGGAGAGGGCGACAGGGAGCAAGAAGGCACCTATTCCATGGCTTTGCCAGAGCTGGAGCGAAGGGACACGGGGGCACCACGTTCTTGGGGGCGTAAGAGGACTCTTTCCTCTGCTCCAGGGACTCCCCCACCGCCACGGGCGTGAGCGAGCGCCCTGAAACTCCACACAGCCCCCACCCTACACTGGGACCCCAGCCCTCCCCACCTCGCGGAGCCCAGGACTCACGTGGGAACAGTGGCGGCAGAGCTCTGTCCCGGCAGAGTTTGAAGTGTAAGGAGTGGGGAGGGGGTCTAGGTAAGGTATTTAAGCGCAGGATGGAGTAAGCGGTGCTTACGGGAATTGGAAGGGGACGCGGTGTCTTATCCACCCCCGGATTTCTTGGCTTCGGCTCACGAGTCCCTCCAGTCCCGAGGGACCGTGGATGATGTGCGTCTGAGCCGTCCCCTCCACTTGACCCCCATCCCCCCGGGCCGCCGCCGCGTCCCCTTTAAATGCCCGGGAGCGGGAGCCCGAGCCGCGGCCGGCGCTGCGGCTGCTGCAGCACCGGGACCCACCGCAGTCCCCGTACGTCACAAGCGATTGTCCAATCACAGTGGCGCCGGCGCACATCAAAGGGGCGGGCCGC